ACTAAGACTAGAAAGAGAAGGAGGCTTGAGATCCACGCTAAGGCAAGGAAGAGAGGAAAGAGAACTGGGATCCATATGGAAGAAAGAAAGAAAGGCGGTAAGACTTGTACTAAGGCTAGAAAGAGGAGGGGGCTTGAGACCCACTCTAAGGCAAGGAAGAGAGGAAAGGCATCTGAGATCCATATGGAAGAAAGAATGAAAGGCACTAAGACTTGTACTAAGGCTAGCAAGAGCAGGAGGCCTGAGATCCACGCTAAGGCAAGCAAGAGAGGAAAGTGACCTGGGATCCATATGGAAGAAAGCAAGAAAGGCGGTACAGACTCTGCCCTAAGCGCTAGAAAGAGGAGGGGGCTTGAGACCCACGCTAAGGCAAGGAAGAGAGGAAAGGGATTTCGAGATCCATATGGAAGAAAGAAAGACAGGTGATAAGACTTGTACTAAGAATAGAAAGAGAAGGTGGCTTGAGATCCATTGCTAAGGCAAGGAAGAGAGGTAAGAGATCTGGGATCGATATGGAAGAAAGAAAGAAAGCCGGTTAGACTTGCACTAAGGCTAGAAAGAGGAGGGGACTTGAGACCCACGCTAACGGCAAGGACAGAGAGGAAAGGGATTTGAGATCCATATGGAAGAAAGAAAGAAAGGCAATAAGACTTGTACTAAGACTAGAAAGAGAAGGAGGCGTGAGATCCACGCTAAGGCAAGGTAGAGAGGCAAGAGAACTGGGATCCATATGGAAGAAAGAAAGTAAGGCGGTAAGACTTGCACTAAGGCTAGAAGAGGAGGGGGCTTGAGACCCACGCTAAGGCAAGGAAGAGAGGAAAGGGATTTGAGATCCATATGGAAGAAAGAAAGAAAGGCAATAAGACTTGTACTAAGACTAGAAAGAGAAGGAGGCTTGAGATCCATGCTAAGGCAAGGAAGAGAGGAAAGAGAACTGGGATCGATATGGAAGAAAGAAAGAAAGGCGGTAAGACTTGCACTAAGGCTAGAAAGAGGAGGGGACTTGAGACCCACGCTAAGGCAAGGAAGAGAGGAAAGGGATTTGAGATCCATATGGAAGAAAGAAAGAAAGGCAATAAGACTTGTACTAAGACTAGAAAGAGAAGGAGGCTTGAGATCCATGCTAAGGCAAGGAAGAGAGGAAAGAGAACTGGGATCGATATGGAAGAAAGAAAGAAAGGCGGTAAGACTTGCACTAAGGCTAGAAAGAGGAGGGGACTTGAGACCCACGCTAAGGCAAGGAAGAGAGGAAAGGGATTTGAGATCCATATGGAAGAAGAAAGAAAGGCAATAAGACTTGTACTAAGACTAGAAAGAGAAGGAGGCTTGAGATCCACGCTAAGGCAAGGAAGAGAGGAAAGAGAACTGGGATCCATATGGAAGAAAGAAAGAAAGGCGGTAAGACTTGCACTAAGGCTAGAAAGAGGAGGGGGCTTGAGACCCACGCTAAAGCAAGGAAGAGAGGAAAGGGATTTGAGATCCATATGGAAGAAAGAAAGAAAGACAATAAGACTTGTACTAAGACTAGAAAGAGAAGGAGGCTTGAGATCCACGCTAAGGCAAGGAAGAGAGGAAAGAGAACTGGGATCGATATGGAAGAAAGAAAGAAAGGCGGTAAGACTTGCACTAAGGCTAGAAAGAGGAGGGGACTTGAGACCCACGCTAAGGCAAGGAAGAGAGGAAAGGGATTTGAGATCCATATGGAAGAAAGAAAGAAAGGCAATAAGACTTGTACTAAGGCTAGAAAGAGAAGGAGGCTTGAGATCCACGCTAAGGCAAGGAAGAGAGGAAAGAGAACTGGGATCCATATGGAAGAAAGAAAGAAAGGCGGTAAGACTTGCACTAAGGCTAGAAAGAGGAGGGGGCTTGAGACTCATGCTAAGGCAAGGGAGAGAAGGAGGTAGACAAGGACCTATGATGAAATAAGAAAAAAAGGATCTAGATAAGCCAATCAAAACTCTTAGATGTGTGTATCTAGACATAATGGATGTATGTAAAGCAATTTGGGGTGTGCTTGTAGCTTCAGCCATAATTATATATCCCCATGTACAAGTAAGAAAAATATTGGGTGAATGTTGATGCTTAAGCTAAGTTAGCTGAGACAAGAATTGGCCTCTCTTTCTCATCTTTTCCAAGGGCTTGCTGCATGGGAAGATCATGGACTTAGTGTATGCCCCTTGTATTGAATAGGCGCTTGTAGACTTCTATCTGATTTCAAATCTCTTAAAAGTCATTATTTGTTTGTGCTGATGTTGGTTGTTAAAAACAGTTATTAGCGAAGAAAAATAATAGTAAAAAGTGCCAATAAGAGTCGGCAGGGTGGGAGGAATTTGTGGAGAAAATCAATATGGACCAATACAATCACACTGAATTTGTTCGACATCCTGGAAGAATGAGCTATATTTAGCAGAGGTAAATCCCAGAAAATCAATATTCTAATGAAAGGAGTTAGGGAGTGGTCCAATCAGGTGGCATCCATCCAAAATTTCCTTAAATAAGCTCATCTTCCTCCTCCCCCAAAAGATGTTAATTCCATAAAAATGAAAAAAAAAAACATGATATGCTTCCATTGGTTCCTCAGTCCTTTAAAAGCATACAGCACAATTCCTACAACTGCAACGAACTCGACCTCTAAATTTATGGGTTCTTCGGATTAAAAAGGTAGGAGCGGGGGGCCTGAACAACCCCCAAAGCAGAGGAAATGGGCTAATTAAAGGTATTCTTGAGGGCTACGTTCCGTAAAAAGAGCTAACCATTGGAGACTGTGTTGGCCAGCAAGAAGAGGACCTTTGTGACCGAATACAGACAGACTTCCTGTCGCTTATTTCTGTCGATATAAGGCCCTACGAGCCTCCTCCTTTGTGTATTTCTTCGTGTGTTTGGAGAAAACCCATGAAGATGATGATCAGAATGCTTGTGTCCTCTCTAGCCACGACCTACTACTCCACCTGCTGCTGCTACTGCTGCTGCGAGATTAACATCGATACAGGCCTGGCAGACCCTGTGAACATCGGTCCCCCCGTGGACATTCCCCAAATCCCAGACTGGCACGGTGCGTCACCCTTCTAGCCACTTTTCTCACCGCTCCGTTCGTCGCTCAATCTCCGTGTCTGTTATTTTCTGGCCTTCTCTCTCTTCTCTCCGTTATCGCTGCAATTCCGATTATCAGTTTCTCGAGTTGGATGCTCATTGTTGCCTGGATTCGTGCAGACGGGGAGTTTGGGGATTCCTACGGATCCCATCTGGTTGATTAGTTTGCCACCCACATGGGTGGCACCGGTTGCTGTTGCGCAAGGTTCTGGACCGCTTGTTGAACAGTCGACTGTTGCGAACGCCTATTTCATGTCTTGCAGGGTAGCCTGAGCTATCTTAGGTTATGGTGTAATCAGATAGGAAGCGTCAGTGACTGCTTTCTGAAAGTATCACTTGAATAAGAAACGATCCATGTGCTTTAGCAAATCTGGGTGATCGATCGAATGTATGCAACGGAAGCATTGTAATTGAGGGTGGGGGAAAGTAGGTCGGGGTTGGACTGTTTTGGCTAAAAGTTTGCTCGTTGCACAGATTGTATCTCGTCGAAGTCCATTGCTACCTCCACGCTTGTGTCCGTCTCATAATGTCAGGCTCTTACACTGCTTGCTAGTGACCCCTCCATGGAATCATATACATGATTGTATGCACTTGCTAATTCTCTGATAGTGTTCCTTTGTGTCATCGACTGGTCGATCTTATGCTTGTATTGTATTAAGGTCCAATGTTCTTAACGGTCATTATTCATACTTTGCAATCTACTCCTGCTTAATTGGGTGCTGCTAGTATGACATTTGGAAATTGCATCATACATCGTTGATCGTCTTCGGATTGCTTTTGGTCTGGAGCTGTCCTTGTTGTTGGTAATACTGCCTTATTTTAATTAGGAGGGAATTCATATTTTTATTTGAGTTTATTAATCAACATTCAACTTTAAAATGTTCCTCATTCTGTAATATTCTAGTTTATGTAATTTTAAATTTTTCAATTTGTATAAACTAGGCGTTTTACATCTTTCCAATAGCAAATACTATAACAATTATCACATGGATACTTTAATGTGAGAGAGAAAAACAAACCATGTGTATATACATATAGTGTTTTATAAACACTATGATAAATTTAGCAAAACAGTTTTTTAGTTAATATTCTATTATTTTTAGTGTTAAAAATTAAACAAAACAAAAATTTTAAGGAAAGAATTAGATGAGATGAAATTGGACAAAATTGCTAATTTGGAATTAAAACTATATTATGGTAAAGTATTCTACTTCTATATTTTTTTATTTCATGAAAATATTTTTGTAATTCATTAAATGTTTTTTTATTACATATCAATGTGTTTTATGTGCTAGATACAAATTTATATTGAATTAATTGAAGATTTTATTAAAGCAAATTGGCACAAGAATTGATAACTATTTTGTTAAATTTTTAGATTTTACAATAATTAACTATCACAAAATAATGTTTTGGTGTACAATTTTTTCTTTATATAAATATATGATTTCAAGTTTTTTTTTTAAACATGAATGATTTTGTGCAATTCTTAAAAACCTAAATAATTAAAATATTATTAAAAAAAGAAGATAAAATATTAATCAAAATTAATTTAATTTCTTTCCAAACTAATAAGAATTTGTTATTAAAATCTTATATTCTATGGAACTTTTACTTTTGAAACTATATCTCTAATCTTTTAGAAGTACTAAAATACCAAAATTAATTTTTAATTTATAAATATTTGAGATTAAAATAATTTAATTTAATTTAAATATTTTTATAAGTCTTTTATAAAGATATAGTCAATCTTTTAAAGTTAACTTTAAGTTATAACAAATTCATCTTTCCAATATCAATCTATACTATTAAAATTAATCTTGGATATAGTCAATTCATAGTAAAATACTACACATGAGAAGAATTAAGTAAATTCAATTTTATATCTTAAAATTCTACATACATATTATTATTAATTTTTTATCTTGAATTTATTATTAAATATTATAGTCCAATTTAAGTTATTACTTTATTAATTATTTAAATTCTATACCTCAATCAAATCAACATTTATCTTGATTCATACAATAGATGTAAGATTAATTTTTATTTATAAAATATATTATATCCAAATTGATAATTTCATCTAATTTTTAAATTTAATTGAATCTAATATCTAATATTCTAAAAAATATTGTGAAATTTGACACTATTAGATTTCACAACGAAATAGTTACTAAGTAACTAGACAAAATGACTAATAGAATTATAGAGATATCAACTAGATTGAGATAAGATTTACTCTTTATATCAATTAGTCACAAAGAGTCATTTCCAATAGGCAGTCATTTCACAATTCATAAAAATCAATTTGAGTCTTTAATTGGAATTGCTACAAATGCATATACATGTAAAGAAAAAACTTTTTTTGGACCTTGGCAGACAAAATCAAGTCCTCATACAAGGTACAAATTTAATATACAATATGTCTATTAACATTAGCACAAAGTTTAAGGCACCTCAATTCTATCTCTTGCTTATTTGACTTATAAGATGCAATCTAGATAGTGAATAGTAAGCCTTCACCTAAGACAATGTTATATTATATGTTGTCTTATATAAAAATACACCAAATACTTGGTTGTAGAAGATAGAATTGAATTTTATAATTATCTAAGAAATTCTAATAAATTTTTATTAACCAAAAACATTGTTATCCAATTCTAACTCAAGAAATTTTAATATTAATACAAAAAACCTAAAAATACTTATTTTAATAATCACAAGCATATACAAACTCTAATTATTTTATTACTTTTATCTTTTTTAACTTCAAATTTCTTTTACAAATTTTAATCTTAGTCAACAAACTTTAAAAAGGTGATTTTTTTTTATTTAATCCTTCAAGTGAATTACAACTTTTCACACTTATATTACTATAAGTCTTTCATATACATACAAAAATTTAATCGAATCCAACTTATAAATTATGCAAAAAAATAAAATTCCATATTGATGCCCCTTAGCTGCCAACTTAAAAGTTGATGAAGAAATTTTGATAGTCATTTCACTTTTTTAATTATTAATTTTATCTCAAAGTTAATTTGTGCTTTAATTTTTAAAGATAATAACTAAATTTTGTTTTATCTCATTTCAACTAGTGGATCTTTAGATATTACAAGAATCCTAACTAATCATAAAATATCCTATACTTAGTACTTCTTTACACTTATGATTATATATCTCTTATTTATACAATTACAATAGAACAAATTTTTACACATGTCTATTCTATACAATGTCACGGACATATATTTACAATAATTTTCATCTAGGTGATATGAATAGATAGAAGTAGGTAAAAATAAATTAGTTTCATAATATCTTCTAAAGAAGCTTCCTAAAAGCTTCATAGACGCTGCTTTAACTTAACATGTGTTTATACTTGATTGATAGGTTAGAATTATGGTCAACGAGTTAACCATGTGCCACACATGTTGGTAGCTTGTGGAACAAGCTAACTATGTGGCGTCCACATAGAAAGCTTGCCTTGCAAGTTAAGATACGTGTTGTACAAAGTCAACACATTTTTTAAGGTCTTATAGAACATCGCCACGTAGCTCCTAGGTAGATATTATATATAGAGATAAGAGTGAAGCCTTCTTCACTCTTGTCAATTCCTTTCTTGCTTCTAGTCTAGTTTCAAGGGTCTCTAGTTTTTTTGTCTTTTGGCAATAGCCATTCCATTTTCTTTTTTAATAGACATATTTAGTTATTTCTATTTTGTCATCTTTCTTTGAGAGAAGTCTCACTTATTTATTTATTTTTATGAAGTTCTTGTCCTTGACAGATTGACAAGAGTGCACTTACAATATTAGAGCTTTCTCTAATCTTGATTAAGAGTGGATTATTCCTTTCTCTTGATAAGACATAAGCATATTAGAAGTTGCGGATTACCCTCTTTTAAACTGATATTGTCCTTAGTATTTTCTTTATTCTCAAGTCCTCTCTTTTATTTGTCTTGAATAATATAAGACATCTTTTCTTTTCTAAGGATTCTCATGGCACAACTTTGCTGTGAAGTGTGACAATCGTCTTTTTGAATTTCGATTTGAGAACCGTGTAAGTGGACCTCAATGTTACTATAATTCAATGGCAACACCAACATCTTTTCAACACATACATTTTGAAGTAGAGGATATGCAAATTGATGTGATACATTTCAAATCTCTTATTGAACAAGAAAAGACTCATCGTTGTCAAGAAAGATTCTACTTATATTGTGGAGAATCTAAGCACACTACTCAACATTGTCCAAAGAATCAACGCAACTATAAAATGAAGAGTAAGGCTATCAAAGAAGATAATATGTCAGAAAACAAGTTTGTCCAGCTATAATAGGGACTGTGCAGTTGGAACCTTATATAATACCTAGTCAAGGTCCTATCCTCTCCTCAGAACTCTCTCCATGTTTTACGATAAATGTTATTCTAGGACCCAAACATCTCAAAGCCTCTGCCTTGTTAGATTTAGGAGTCTTAGCATGTTTTTTAGATGAAGAATTTGCTGAAAGACATAGCATACTTTTAGTGAAGAAAACTAAACATGTTCATGTAGAAGTCATAGATGGTCGTCCATTATCTTTAAGAGATGTTATTCATGAAATCCTTTCTATAGAAGTAGCAACTAATGGTCATAGTAGCTTTGTAATATTTAATATCATTAGATCTCCCTCTAATCTAATTATTTTAGGTTTATCATGGCTAAAAAAATATAACTCTAAAATAGATTGGACTTCTTGTAGTCTTCACTTTTCTGAAAGTATAACTAAGAACATAGTTAATCAAGTAGAAAGTCATAAGTTTAGTATAATTAAACCTATATTTATGGGTGCAAGAGCTTTCTTGTATGTTGCAAAAGAAGAATCACCTTTTTTCATTTATGCCACACTTATTTCTATTGGTAGAAAGACTTTAAGTGGCATTCTAAGCCAATATCAAGATTTTTAAGATGTATTTGAGAAAAAGAATGTAGATACTCTTCCAAAACATTGTTCCTATGACTTCTCAATTGACCTTCAAGAAGGAGCACAACCGCCATTTGAACTAATCTACAATTTAAGTCAAAATGAGTTGGCTGAACTTAAGGAGTATATTGAAGAAAATTTGGCCAAGAATTTCATATGCCATTCTAAATCTCCAGTAGGAGCTCCAATTTTATTTGTGAAGAAAAAAAATGGGTCATTGCGGATGTGTGTTGATTATTGAGGACTCAATAAAATCACTATAAAAAATAAGTACTAGCTACCTTTGATATCTGGACTTCTTGATCAGTTGAATCAAGCTAAGATCTATAAAAAAATAGATCTACAGGGAGCATACAATTTGGTACGCATCAAAGAAGGAGATGAATGGAAGACTGTATTTCTAACAAGGTATGAACATTTCGAATATAACGTTATACCTTTTGGACTTACAAATATACTTGCAGAATTCCAACATCTAATAAATCATGTGTTTCAAGAATTTTTAGA